TTCTACAGACCATGCCCAGAAAGAGGCCCTGCTCAGAGGGACCTTTCCCTGACATGATAGGGTCAGCCTGTGTGGTTCAGCCCCTGCTTCAGGGAGGAACTGAGGCACCGGGTGCCCCAGTGCACCCTTCCATCTCTGGCAGCAAAGGGGGCTTGCTGGCTGCTAGAGCCCCAGTGCTGCCGGATGCTGCCTGGGGCTGCTTTGTATTGTACTCAACAGCATCGACTGAATGAATTTCCCCTCCAGTTCTTTCTGACGCATCTCTGGCCTTCCCCTTAAGGAGCTGCAAGGGGTGTGAGCTTGGATTGCTCTGTCCCTGCAGATGCTAGTCCCCATGGCACCTGCTTTCCTTATCTGAGGGCAGCCTTCTTGGGTCTGTTTAGTCTGCTGAGGATTGGTACAACCAGGGCATCCACAGCCAGCCAGAATGGGAGCCAAGCTCTGCAGAGCTGAGCTATCTTTGACATTTGTCTGTCCTGGGAATCCTTTAAGCTTCTCATCTGGTTTAAGGCTTGAATATGTTTTGTGTGCAAAATAACGCATCCTGTGTGTGTCAGAGCCACCAGCACAGTGTGCCTCTCTTCAGCCCCCAGCTTAACTGGCCAGTGGCTGCCAGGTGGGTCGCACGGGCTGTCTCTCCTGTCACCGCGGGGCTGCAGGCACAGGAGGGGTTGTGCCCACCCCCACTCCCACAAGGAGCTTGCAAAGCCCCAGCCCAGCATGGGCTCTGTCTGTCTGACCTGTCCCACCCATCATCCAGGTACTTGGGATCAAACCCAGATCGTGACCAGTTAATGTCCCCTTCATAAATTCCTGCCTCATGCGTCACCAGTGTGTTTGTGAAGGGCTCGGTGGACACTTCGGGAGATTGGCAGGTCAGGATCAAAGCTGGAATCTGAGGGAGATAATGCAGATGGTGCCCCATGCCCTGCAAAACAGGCAAGCTGGAGCGACCCTTGCCAAGCAGGGCACATCCCTGGGGCCACAATTCTCTGTCTCACCCCCTGACATGTGGTGGTGGGGACGTGTCAAGGACCTTTCCCGTTAATGCCCCCCCCCCAGTTGCTTTGGCACTTTACTCCCAGCTGCAAACCTCTGGGTTCGATTGCCGCTGTGCTGCTGGGAGAAGCAGTAAAACCTGAACCCCGGGGGGACAATAAAGCCAGCAGAGAAGAGATAAGCAGGGATCAAACACGGTGCGGCAGCCACCCCACGCCGGACTCTCAAAGGCCCCTTTGTTCCCACTGCCTCCTGATTCAGCGCCGCGCTGCCTTCAAGGGCTGCGGGCGAGATAGCGGGGCTCCGGGGGCGCCCCGGCCCACCAGATAGCGGGGCGCGGGGGCAGCCCTGCCGCCCCAGCCCCTGGCAGTTGCCACCTGCACAGCCGGGCAATAAAAAAGGAGGTTTAATTTCAGTCACAGGACTGATCCCGGTTGCACACCGAGGCCTGATAACGTATCTTGCTGGTTGCTATCAGCCAGGCAATAAAGCCATTATTGGGGCGTGAGATGTGGAAGAGACACTCGCCTTCCTCCTCATCCCGGGCTTGCTGAGGGGGATGTTCCTCCCAGCCCTGCTGCCCCCTGACCCTTGCCTGCTGTCTGCTCTGCAGCCACCCCACAGTCTGGCTTGATGGGGAAGTGTCGTCGGCCCCGCACAGCCTTCACCAGCCAGCAGCTCCTGGAGCTGGAGAACCAGTTCAAGCTCAACAAGTACCTGTCCAGACCCAAGCGCTTTGAAGTGGCCACGTCGCTGATGCTCACTGAGACGCAGGTACCTTGGTGCCGGGGGGATGGAGCATAGCACCAGGTGGCTGCCAGGGAGGGAAGTCAAGGTCATGGGCACCGTTGGTGCCCCTCACCTGGCTGTCATCAGCCCCACACACCCCATTGCCTCTGTTAGCGCCCCTTTTCAGGGTGCCTCCTGCAGAGACCTGCCTGGTGGGCTCTAAGCTCTTCTCTTGTCAGGGGCACCTCAGAAATACTGCTCCTCTTTTTACTTGGCAACCCCAGCTTGGGTTTTAGAGCCTTCCATCCCTCACAGCACCATCAGAGGGGCTTCTTGTGGGGCTAAAGTCAAAACGTTCCTGTGCACATCCTTGGGCATCTTGCAGGGGCTGGGCAGGGGAAAGGGAGCAGCCACCCAGGTACTTCTCTCCCTGTGGCAAGCTCAGCTTCCTCGCACAGTACCACACTAACACAGTACGCCCCACAGCAAAAAGGCTTTGGGAGGGGCCCTCCGTGCAGGGGAGGAGAGGGAGTGAGTGGGGACAGGACGGGGCGAGGGGATGCACTCTCCCCTGGGGGTCCTACCTTGGCAGGTGAAGATCTGGTTCCAGAACCGGCGCATGAAGTGGAAGCGGAGCCGCAAAGCCAAGGAGCAGGGGGCTCAGGCGGAGCCCGAGAAGCAACGAGGGCTCAGCAAAGCCTGCGAGAAGCTGCTGCCTGGCGA